GTCTGCACTGAACACCAAAGAGCAGAGGAAGTAGTCAGTTTATAAGGGTATTTCAGTGATACCTGTCTCAACTGAACACCAAAGAGCAGAGGAAGTGGTCAGTTTATAATGGTATTTCAGTGGTGCCTGTCTGCACTGAACACCAAAGAGCAGAGGAAGTAATCAGTTTATAAGGGTATTTCAGTGATACCTGTCTCAACTGAACACCAAAGAGCAGAGGAAGTGGTCAGTTTATAATGGTATTTCAGTGATACCTGTCTGCACTGAACACCAAAGAGAAGAAGAAGTGGTCAGTTTATAAGAGTATTTCAGTGATACCTGTCTGCACTGAACACTAAAGAGCTGAGGAAGTGGTCAGTTTATAAGGGTATTTCAGTGACACCTGTCTCAACTGAACACCAAAGAGCAGAGGAAGTAGTCAGTTTAAAAGGGTATTTCAGTGATATCTGTCTGCACTGAACACCAAAGAGAAGAAGAAGTGGTCAGTTTATAAGGGTATTTCAGTGATACCTGTCTGCACTGAACACCAAAGAGCTGAGGAAGTGGTCAGTTTATAAGGGTATTTCAGTGATACTTGTCTGCACTGAACACCTAAGAGCAGAGAAAGTGGTCACTTTATAAGGGTATTTCAGTGATACCTGTCTGCACTGAACACCAAAGAGCAGAGAAAGTGATCAGTTTATAGGGTATTTCAGTGAAAGCTGTCTCAACTGAAGTGCCAAGAACAAAAATTGTTCAGTTCAATCAGAGCTTCGTTTTTTGGGAAGGGGCTGAAAAAATGGGTCTCAATTTAAACATGCATTTGATGTAGACATGTTTCGTTGTAACGTCCAAATAAACACAATGTAAAACGTGAGCATTGGTACGATAAAGTACAAGAGTGATGGTACAGTTACAGTGCAGTGGCTTAGATTCTCAACAGTACACATGTAAATGTTTGCCTCTCATCAAGTTAATGTTGTGGGTTTTTGCTGCCCTGTGATGTATCTATGTTAAAATAAAATAGAAAATAAATGGTGCCATGACATTTACCATATTATACAAGTTGTTGTATTTACCATATAAGAATGAACAAATGGAATTTATACAGCTACCGGTGTCTGGTGGTATGTCATAAATATTTGCTATTTTGTAGGCATACAGTCAGATAATAAACACTAGAATAGTTATCCGTTTATTATCAATGACGCTACTGAAACCTTAAAAAATTCTTGTAATTGCTTTTTCGTACGATTTTTTTTTTCGGTAGTCGTGTACATCATAAACAGCTTAGACTGTATGCACATACTGGCATAAGCGAGCAGAACGTTACTGGTACATGCACTGTAAACATACAAGTGATGTATTGTGTGTCATCGGCATGTGCGGTTTACAGGCGTGATGAACTATAAAGAGATACTTATTTTAATCAAGTAATTAAAAACTTGTTTCTCAGTCATCTATACAAATAGTACCAAATAATTAGCACTCATGCAGAAATGATGGTTTAATTGAGTTATTAAAACAAATGAAAGCATTATTCTATTATTAATAAGCTACTAATTGTCATGTCTCAATATTTATTCTCAATATAAAATTGATAACCATTGACTTTAATATTTATGCGCATAATCGTTCATTCTTTGAACACTTGGCCAATGTTGCATTTCATCATGCCTTCTCGGCATACATATAAAGAGTTTTGTGTCCCATGTGGCTGCAACACTCTTGAAATTTCTGGGGGATAAATGTGGCTTTTCAAATGAGGTTTAATACAAGTATTATGAAATATCTCTGTGGGGATTATGTTGCATATTATCGGCTGACAACATGGACCATTGTCACTTTATTTGAAATGCTGTATTTTTCCTGTATGCATGTCTATGTGAATTACAGAAGTATGTCTCTCGATACAGTCAAAATAAGTCATTTTAATGATTTCAGTTTTTGTGCTTTCCTCTTTA